ACCCGAGCTCAGAGGATGAAAGAGACCACCCACAGAGGGTGAGAGGGGAATTTTTTTTTTAGAGATATTTGGAGGTCAGATGAAGCATTTTTCACATTTTTCTAAATAACGCCCCCTAGTTCAACCAACCATGACCAAGTTCAGTATAAGGTAAAGCCTTTGTGCAAAGTTTAGGGTTATGGTCAGGTGTTTTTGTGTAACAAATTTAGCAATTTTACAGTGTCACATAGTGATGGATGCTGACAAAAACAAACGAGACATGGTCAGTACAAAGAAAAATAGCAACATTTTATGGTTTCAAAATGATGGAAAATTGAGTAGCAATGTATAATTAGTATTATGTTTTAATTGAAAAAAATAAAAATAAAAAATGTGCCACTATAACCTTTATTTGCCTTCTTGTGCTTGGTTTTGGCTAATTCATTCTTAATGGCCGTCTGCTGAAAAAAACAATCCCACCAAAAATCTTTAGAACAGTGGCTCATCTGGAGAATCTAAGAAATTTTTCCCACATCAGTTTTGTTAATGTGTCTTCTAGTTTTGCTGAAACATGTATAACTGAGTAGAAGTGCGAGTACTGAACCTGGATACCAAAAAAAATGTTAAGTTTCAGGGGACTATGAGTTTCAGAGGAGAAACATAATAATAAGAATGTACAAACTAAGTGAAAACAATAGGGTTCTCTGCTCCACTAGGAGCAGGCAAATGGCCATGCCTTGCATGGGCCGTACGCTCGCTTCCGTGGTCTCAGAACCCTGATAATAACAATAATGGAAACATATACAAAAAAACAATAGGGTTCCCTGTTCCGCTGGTAGGAGGGGAACAGCCATGACTTTCATTGGCCGTCTGCTCATTCCTGCAGGCTTGGAACCCTAATGAACCTTATAAACAATTGTTTCTATATAAAGTAATGTTTTTGGTCATAGTATGATTTGTACACTGCTTTTGTATTCCATAATATGATTTGAATATATTTTTCTGTGTTTTGTGTTGTTTCACGTTTACACTTTTTTGCATTAAATCCTCTTCAGTTGCAGCAGTGGCCTGTTCCCGGAAGAAAGTGGTGCAAGACACAGTTTAGCTAACTTAACTAACACCCAGTGTGAACAAGAGTTCACACTGGGTGCAACAGTACATTTGCCCACAATGTGCAAATGTACATTGGTGCAGGACTGTCATGCATTTGACAGTGTAAGAGCGGAAATACTATCTAAGGAGTTGTTTGGCGGAAAAAAGACACTGGTGCCTCAGCAAGACTTTGGCTTCGCACTAGGTCAACCTGACCGAATTCTTTCCTTCCATTTGCGTGCAAAGCGCAAATGGAGCCAGAATTTACTGGAAAGGATGTCTGTTTGTGCAAGATAAAATCAACAAATTGAGATAAATTGTCCTATTTAGCAATTCTGAAATGGAGCAGATGTTGAGTTCGTGAGGTCCAAAATATTTTAAAGGTCGCCCAATACACACTCAGTATAAAGCGTGCCAGAATCTTTCTGCAAAACAACAGTAGCACGCCATTGGTTGAAACTTTCCAACACACACTGATGAAGATGAGAA